TGATGGAAACTAGTCCTCTGTTCTCTGTTCCCTGTTTTTTTATTATGCGGATCTTTTTATTGCGTATCGTGCTACATACGCATCCTTAAGGCCACAGCACAGACTTTTGCATAACGCATAATGCATAAGCGAATCGACTTTCCTTTCCTCCTATTCCATGGAAAAGAAGAATGGTTCGATTGGTTGATTCCCTTATGCATTATGAATTATATGCGTTATGCAAGAGTCTGTGCTGCGGTCAATACGTACACAAATAATTTATTAACAATTCTAGTAACATCGAACAAAAAAAACTGTCGTCTAGGGAATAATCGAGTTAAAGAAACATCGGTTCAAAAATAGATTTTTTTCCAAAAAAAATAATTGTCAAATTAATCGAATGTCAATCACCCATTTTTACTTCACGGAGACTCGAGCCATATAATTAAAGAAGAAGAGGATGTCTCATATATATCATGGTTCTAAACTGTTCTAAACGCATTTTGACGTAAGTCATTTGATTGCATGCTACAATTGTTTAGCAGAAAATTCTAGATCGAATGATAGTACATTGCTAAAAATCATGAAAATCAATGAGAAGAATATGGTAGCGTTTGCAACCTCTGCAACGCCAGTAGACCGTGAAGGTTGGTTGAACAAACGCGGAGAGATAAATCGTGGATATCATAAGCGATGGTGTGTTCTCAAAGGAAATATATTATTCTATTTTGATCGCCGCGGTGATAGAGAGCCGGTAGGCATGATCGTGCTCGAAGGCTGTACAATTGAATTGGCAGAGGATGAAGAACAGTTTGGCTTTAAGATAGTTTTTCATGGACCAAATAATAGAAGTTATGTTTTAGCTGCAGAGTCCCAGGTAAACAGATGTTCTAATACTGTATTTACACTTGGGCTTGAAAGTAAATGTGTTTTAATGACAGACAGTGATATCTAGGAATCTATGGAACAATGGATGAAGGCTTTGGCATGTGCTAGTTATGATTATATGAAACTTATGGTGACAGAATTGCAACGTCAGCTGGATTCTGTAGAGGAGGAAACAGCTTCCACACCGATTCAACAATCTCCTAAAGCTCCACCGAGACAACGACATAATCCGTTCAATAGACCAGACTCTCATCATCGTTCTCAGAGTGTCAGATCAGCACCTGGTAGAACTGAGAACGTACCTAGGACTAGAATAACTTTTCGTGAGCTTCATACAGCATATGGCAGGCGAATCTTGGCAGATCTGAATACATGGAGACATGCAAAAAAAAATGCAGAGGCACCACTAATAACTCTCTAACTTTGTATATATTTTGTAGATGATTAAACAAAGTATACTTCCACATTGTATATAATTTAAAAGAATTACTGGTTCAAAAAGTCAACTGTACGTTAACTCATATTATATTGAGTATGTGTGTATGTATGTATGAGTACGTGTGCATGTAAAGATGTAAAATTAATTTATTTAGACAAAAACAGATTTGTTTCATAAAATGTAATTTTTACTTATGCAACGTATTCTCTCTATTTTCTGTAGAAAATTTTCTAAATAATTTTTAATTTTCGATAATATTTGATTGCTATGCTAAGATTATTATGACATAAAAAATATTGGCATAATAGAAAAAAAAACAGTTACAAATAAAATGATAAAAGGAACAATTGCAAGCTGTTGTACACTTTTTAAAGAAATTTTCCATATGAG